TAATTGCCCGGCGGCCGTTGATCCTGCCCTCAACACGGAGAAGGTCATGCTCCAAAGGAAGCTCCGTGTCCTGTACTGCGATATCAACGTTGCTGACATGGGATTCCTGTTCGGCAACATCTTCCGAATCAGCTTGCAGCGTCGGTTCTTCCAGCTCTAGTACGCTGTAACGGTTGCGTATGTCAACCGGGTAACCGTTGGGTGCTTTCCGCTTGGTCGCCAGCGAGCGCACGCCATTTTTCACTGGCGACCAGCGTTTGGGTGTTGATTGCTGGGACAATCCCGAGCTAGGTGACCTGGCTTCCGACAAGCGAAGCATCCACCCTGCCGACTCAGGTGACGCCTCTCCTCCGGTGTTAGCCTTTGGGGTCGTACGGGCTGACTTCGGTGCTGAATCGGGTTCGGCTGTTGGTCCGCCGTTTGCGCTGACCTGATCGCTTGGCTCAGATCAGTGGGGTGCTCTCGCAGCACCCGGGTCTTGACAGATGGGTGCAGTCCATTTACGAACAGCAGTCCTCGGGTCAGCTCGTCGATCTCAGGCACTTGTAGGCTTAGGCGCGAGAACTCGGTGACATAGCTCTCCAAGCTTGAGTGCTGCCTGACAGCGAAGAGATCCAGTCGCACCCGCTCTTGATGATGCAACGGACCGTACACCTTGGCGAGGGCTTCACGCAGCGCTGGCCACGTCGAGAACTCCACACCCGTATCCAACGATGCGATGAGCCATAGCTTGGCGTTGCCGCTCAGGAAGCCCGCTGCGTAATCCACCATCACCGATGAGTCGGTGATTCCCAGTGACCGAATCGCCAGCTCAATGGAGAAAGCCCACTCCTTGAACTGCGAGGGCTTGCCATCGAAGATCGGCGGCTCCTTAGCGTGCCGAGGCTTCCCGGACGAATGATCGGGCGGCACAGGGAGCGGTTGTTGTCGGTTGCTCAGACGGGCGCTGACTTGGCGACTGGCTTCACGGACCTCGCTGGCCAACCTGAATAGCAACACAGAAAGAACAAGGATCGCCACGACAATGGCGAGCTCCAAGAACACCATGTTAACCATCCTCCGCTACCAGTGTAACCGTTTGAAGGTATTCTTGGAAAAGACAATGCTTGCTCAAGGCAACACAACTGATATGGGGCACGAAGTGCCCTAAGGTGATAACGCGCGTGCTGACAGGATAGGGAAAGGTGCAAGATACAGAGCTAGAGGGCAGATAAGGTTAGCGCTAACAGGGAACTGTTACAATGTACCGGTACAAAGTGGATGGGAAGTGTTGTGCAATGATTTTGTGTACAGTATTCAAATTCACCAACTTCCATCACACAATCATGCAGTTCTATTGCACCCATGCCAATATAATTATACTGGTACAACGATGTCTTTCATTCATACTATTCCTAGCACTGTAAGTGTTTCAACTGTGTGTAAAAGTGATGTAAATTTGAAAAAAGGCCAAAGTGTTTGTATAGTAGCCCATAGAAATATTAATTCGAATCCGAAACTATTTACACTGAAACTATTTACTTTTACACAATCATGAAGACACTAGTGGTATGTGTATCTACATCTCTCCAACTGTTTTGTGCAGGATTTGGAGACATGTGGCGTATAGACAATACACATGGTTCACCCATGGATACTTTGGACGCAAGCAGCGGCGTGTGATACCGTCTTGCGTGGTATCGAAGATAAAGCAGCTGTACCAGAAGCCAATGCAGATGCGCACTGGGGCTTTGAGGAACCAGTTGGACATGATGATGATGATGATGATGATGATGATGATAATGCTTCTTGGCCTGGTTGACGTTCACATAATCATTGGTACATGTGCATGCAGAATGTAGAAAACAGTTGACAGACACGATTTATAACTATTCTTGACTCGGGCAATATTTGTGTTTTCGGGTGGGCGCATGCTTTGCACCAATGCAGCTGCATGAACAATCTGGTAAAGTTGACAGATACAATGGCACAAGACTGTACTGTGTTCGGGAGCATGGGGTTGTGCCGGTGCCGTTGCGAATGCCGAGAATGGTTGTATGCACATCGTTCAACAGGTCCTTCAAGAAGTTGCAGGACATTGTCGTGCAGCTTCTTGGCCACTTTGTGCTCTTGGTGTATTCCAGCCTGTACCTGAGCACACCCTCCTTGGTTTTGGCGTGCGCTCTCCCTATATTGGCATTGTGGGACAGACATGCCGACTGTACCCGTGCTCTCATGCCATTGTACGAAAAGTGGACACGTTTTGGTGCCCACTTCAGTATGACAGCATGGAAAATTTCCAGACTACAAATCATACTGTACCTTGTATTTGTGGCAGTGTAGCTGCAACCGGAAAGTAACGCAATGGAAACTTACAGATAAAGAGAACCGAAATAACACACATGATAACGTTCCATGTACATTACATCAATTCTCGACTTCACTGACTAGGATTTTGAGTAGAGGACTTTGAGTAGGACTGTAGTCGTTTAGAGCTACGTTCTGGACGGCACAAAATCATGCCGTTCACTTACCTCATCGTGCTCACGTTCCTGGAAGTAAATCGAAGATGGTCTGCGTTTGCTGGCAGCAGAGGTAGAGGAGCTACTAACTATTAGTATGACATGCACCGCCAAGTTTCAGGATGGCAGAGACCCTGGCTTCAAGCGTCGCTGCTGCTTCTGCTTATAGCCACCAATGCTTTGTGCAAACTCTTGTTGGAAATCTCTTTCATAGCACATCTCAGTGAAATGCTCAGTGCAGACACGATTATTTTTCGTCGGAGAAAAATCCTTCCAACATACTCTCCATAGCCAAGCTGTCGTCAGGTTCGCGTCAGCCAGAGGAAAGCCATGCTACGACAGCCCGCAGGCGCCTCTTTCTTCGTGACATTGTTGCATCCAGAGACGCAGCAGCGAGTTGTGACAATAAATCGGGCATGGCACAGAACAACAAGCACTTCAACAATGGCCAAGGACTTTTCATTCTTGCTTCAATTATTTGAAAATTTCATCTGAGTGGACCGGGCTGAGAACGTTTTACGTCACAGGGTGGGAGGGGGCCCCCTCGTGCCAAATATGGAAAATTGCAATTGGTAATTTAGGTATGTTATCCTTGTCGTAGAAGCTTCCGGTTTTCGCCATTCTACCACTTACGACATACTCTAATGGATTCCGCAATAAAAAATGGGGGTGATTTTGGACCGGAGTTCCCCTTTAATCTGATACTCAATCTGCAGACAGAACTGTTTCCTAATATGTATGGACAGAGTACAATGCAAACATGTATGCCACAGAGTACAATGATGCAAACATGCATATAATTATCAGCCCCCCAGTGCCGAACACAGTCAACGTTGCGAATAGCGCGACTCTCACTCGGCTATGAGAAAAGTGTTGTAATATTTTGTTATTTGTAACTTGGAAATTGTGGGCACAAGTTATGCGATCGAGTCCACCAACTGAACCAGATTTTGAACAGTCAGTCAGTCGATCGCTTAACTGGTACCCACAACTTCCATGTTACAATTTTTTTCCTTGGCTCACCATCTGAGTTCTATTTTGTTATTGTTTTGGGATTTAAGAACTAAAACTAGCTAGCTTCACTATGATAAGTAACAATAATGCAGGGTGGGGCTGGGACCTTCTGTAAAGTAATGCCTTGTACATACAGTAAAACCTGTAACTAACGACCACCCCTTGGTGCCCGGAAAAGTGGTCGTTAGTGGCAGGTGGTCTTTAGTTAGAGGTTTGCACCGCGCGACCATATATGGATCCCATTATATGATATGTATGTCAAAATGCAGATAATACAATTCCCCACCACTTGCGCACTGACATTCTTCTTTCAGATCATACAACACTTGGAGAGAGAGAAAATCAAGTTTTTTATACACCGGAAGCGATATGTCGACTCACTGGGTTTCCAGAGCAGCGCTGGCCTGGCCAGGCAGAGCACTAGTCACTATCGACTCCATCCTCATCTGTGTGCGACTACACTGGCAACTGGTATCAGTGTGTTGATCTAGATAAGACCAGGGAGTCGTATAGACCCGGGAGGCGACACGCGCATCACTTGTGCACAACCATGATTGACTCAACGATTCAAAATATTACGACCTGCTCGGTGTGGGACAAGTCCGTACATAGGTCATAGCGCGCGGGAAATCCGTACATAGCGAGAAATCGTCGTCTTCGTCCTTTCGCCGAACAATTGTGGTCAGACTTTCGATCTCCATTGCCGAAATACAGCCATCTGTGGCCATCGCTGAGGAGTTCACTAATAAAGGGTCTTGTTCACTGGCTTACTCACTGGCTTTGCACTGCCACTCGAACTCTGAGGCACTTTGACCACCTAAGATGAGGTAATCCTTTCTTTACAAATTGCCTCAATATTTTCTCACCTTTAGGGCAATGAAGTAATTTTTTTCCTCGTGACTAACTTCGACAGACCAAGTTGCCCTGTGATCTACAATACTTATATTGCACATTTGTGAAATATTGGACCTATCCAGATAAACGAAATGACTTATATTCGAAATTACATTTTCCAAAGTTTTCCTTCACAAATAGTCCCAATTTGTTCTCACCTTTAGGCAAATAAAGTAATTTTTTTCCTCGTGACTAACTTCGACCGACCAAGTTGCCCTGTCCCATTGATCTACAATACTTCTATTGCACATTTGTGAAATATTGGACCTATCCAGATAAACGAAATGACTTATATTCGAAATTACATTTTCCAAAGTTTTCCTTCACAAATAGTCCCAATTTGTTCTCACCTTTAGGGCAATGAAGTCAATTTTTCTTCAGGACTAACATCGGCTAACAAAGTGGCGCTGTCCCAGTGATCTACAAATACTTATAATCATTGCGCATAAGAAATATTGGGAGTCACAGCGTGAGGAAATGGCCTAAATTGAAACTTGAACTGTTCTGCCAAGTTTTATGCAGTGAACGCAGGGCTGAGAGCCCGCAAGAGCCATCCCGGAAGATCTTGTGCGCCACCAACCGAACCTTCGGTGAATGTTCACAAGGTTAGAAGCTCGCACAGATAACACACATTGGATGCTAATAGTAATACAATGCACTCAGGAATGTGTGCAAATACAACAGAATTAATTCCAAATAAAGTCAACAATAGCTGCCTCAACACAGTGCTATCAACCTTCCGTATTTTCCATATTTGTACGGAAAATCACTACTTCGTCCGCGCTATGGATTTTGAGAAAAATGTACGGAAAATTGAACGGGATTAATCAGTATGTATAAGCATTGCAAGTGCTAGCTGAGCGATAAAAAGAAGAGAACCGAGTGGAAAGAAAACGCTGCAGTGGAGAGTCCTTAGAAAAGACTGAAAAAATATCATACTATCGCTGCACGAGATCATCCTTATAAGTTATAACGTCAGCTGATCGTACTGTGGTTGATTCATACGGCGGTAAATACACACCTGCCCACACACGCTCTCTAAACTGAAAAGTTTTTCTGGCACAGAGCTCTCCTTCCCGCCACCACCACCATCATCAGTTCGCGTCTGGCGCCTAGTCGATGCAGGGTGAGTGGTGTCCGACATAGCATGCTGGTACATCAGGTAGCGTATGGCGCATAGCAGATGACACAGCAACAACATAGCTTGATTGCGACGTACCTTTCGTCCCGGCTGGACTCATCAGGCAATCTTTTTCTTAGATGCCTTCACAAGGAGCTTGACTCGGGAGAATGAAGTTGAAGACTCCACTGCAACTGCACTTATGGTTGGTTCATATGACGGTGGTAAATACACACCTGGCAATATGGGGGTAAATACACGCCTGCCCAGACACGCTCTCCAAACTGCAAAGTTATTCTGGCAAAGAGCTCTCCTTCTCACCACCACCACCACCAGCACCATCAGTTCGCACCTGGCGCCTAGTCGATGCATGGTTAGCGGTATCCGACATAGCAGGCTGGCACATCAGGTAACGCATGGCACATAGAAGATGGCAACGACATAGCTTGATTGCGACGTACATTTCGTTCTCTCGGTTGTGCTGTAGCCTGAAAAAGGAAATAAGACAATGCATCCACATAACACAGACAAGTAATTACTGTTACAAATAATGCATACTGCTTGATAACAGAGAAAGAAAGTCAGTGGTCACACAAGTTTTTGGTCGTCCCTGAAACGAAGATCGTTCCGGGGGGGGGGAGCTAAAATCTCAGTCGACTGACGCTATGCATACACATGTACATGCATGCGATTTTCGTCGTCCATTCATTTCGGAGGGTGGAGAGGGGGTCCGAGTACGAAATGAATGATGTTTTTTTCAGGGATGACTAATCACTTTTGCGATGACCCCTTATTGCATCAATTTATCATCTGAACTGCGCAATTGAGTCCCACTTTTATTATGTTGGGTTCATATTTCAAGACTCGTGAAGTTCGAGGCGAAAAGCAGGCCGATGAAGGGACGCCAGTAATTCAGTCTAGTCCGGTGTCATGGAGAGGGACCGATGCACCGGCAACAAGAGAATTCAATACGCATGCTACTCTACAGTTCATTGCTGGGGAAGACTACTCAAGGCCACGTCACTCCGGCAATTCAATGTACAAATCAGCAGCAACACTTGCGAACGTATTCCTACCAGCTGACCAGCAAGTTACCAGCCATCAGCTCTTCAAATAATTCCAACTTAACAAAGAAAGGAGATGGACAGATCGGAAAGTATCGTGGCAAGCTCAGGACAACACACGTCCGGCCCTATGTAACAACAGTGGAAAGTGCGTGCCATGGTATATTTTCGAAGGCATCTCAAGAACCAGCTAATGTGGACTGGGAGTCCATTTGCATCGTCCGATCAGCTGCTACAAGTGCCAATGGCGAACACGTTTGACAGAGACTACTACCTCTACTGAATTCAACTTTGGCATGGCAGAGATCTACAAGCACGTTATCTTATCTATCAATAAAGTTGTATCCTCGTATGACTATGTGAAGTGTGAGGGCGTACTGTACTGCATACGCGGCTACGACCTGGTTGGAAATGTACGCAACAGTTCCCACCCTCTTGACCAGAGATCGCACACACTCTAGGGTTTTGATGGGTTTGTACGACTCCCAGCTCTTGACTTTTGTTGGGTGTACGAGACGCACGCACAGTTTCCGTAGGGTGAGTACTTTTTCATGTAGTACTGAATGCGGCAAGCAGGACTCGCCCATCCGCCCCTCCCCACATGGATCTACTCGAATGGTTGCGGAGGTAGGGGTGCTCTGGCGGGATTTTACGACATACACAAGCGCGCACACACGCACACAATATACACACGCACGCACACACATACACACGAACGCACGCTATGTCGCACGTCTTGGGCATGGCTTCGTGAATATAAATAATAATTTAATATAATAATAATAAACACAGCTCGCATCTTCCCTGAACCTGTTAGACAGGAGCAGAGCCGACGCATCTGTCAACAGTGTCAATATAATTTAATGTTATAATTTATAGTATCCAAATGTTAGAGCAGCTTTACAAAACCTACCGTTCAATACCGGATCATCTTGTGACAGCTTCCTTGACTTGACCCCACTTTGTCTTGACGTCGGGAAATCGTTCACACCGGAGTTGGGACACGACTCATTGAAATCCAGGCCTATCTGCTGCTGGGAGCAGGACAGAGCTGATGGACGTCAGCAGCGGCTGTAGAACAACCATAAACGAGTCTTCTTTCTCCGCAGTCAGGCGGGACAGCAGCTTTGCAACGCAAGCTTCTTGCCTTCTGTGGGTCTTTAGCGGCTGGGATTCGGAACGCTCTGTAGAAACCATTGAACAAGTACCATGAGTACTGCACTCTATCAACCCACAAGTATTTCTTCCAATTCATGATTATTCGCAACTTTTTATGCAGTACGCGCACCAGATCAGAAGCCGCTAAGTAGCAAGGTTGAAAGTTTCAAGGCAAATAATTGAAAAAATATAATAAGGCCAAACTAAAGAAGGTGTGTGGTTCGACTCACCCGACCGACCGTACAATTTCAGCCCGACCGTAACTTTTTTTCGGCGGGCTGTCGTGTGACTGACGTACGTGGACTGAACACGTCCACGTCTACGTGCTGTGCGGCGTGAGTCTGCGGACGCAGGCGGCTCCTTTTGGACTTGACTTGTAGTTGTACTGCAGTGCAGTGCAGTGAGTGGTACGACTGCTGCCTTGTGCTGGTAGTAGAGTCTACTCGATACGCGTATACAGTGTATTTACATGTACTAAAAAATATATTAAAAAAAAAAAATCCGCCCGCCCGCCCGTAAAAAAAATGTCCATGTTAGTCGAACCACACACCTTCTTTAGTTTGGCCTAACATAGAAAATTAGAATTCAAACCATACCTGTGGCCCAAGCCAACACAGACTGAGCGTTCACGCGAAGAGAAGGTAGATCTACGTCAGCTGAGGTTTCCTTAGGATCAGGAGGTGATTCTTGACCCGGATCTGGATCGCGATCAGCAGCACTCTCTGCCTCCATCACGATCATCAAATGCAACCAATTCCTTGGAAAAGTAGTTCATTCTTCTTCTTCTTTTCGAGCTACGATTTCCCACGATCCTATCGATCCTGCACGAGTCCGTTCCCCAAGGAGTGCACTCCCAAAGTCCCATGGCATATGTACGCGGAGTAGTTGGTTTATAACTCAGGGCACGCACCGGGGATATCTGAGGGAAAAGTGGGAGAAAGTGCCGCGAGTCAATCATTCATAGTCGGCCCGGAAGGCCTCGTGTCGCCTCCCGGGTCTATACCGTAGTATACGGTAAACGGTATACGACTCCCTGATCTAGACTACAGTGGAAACTCAGTCGCTCCGACTTGGATGTAGTGTAGCGTAAACCATGTAAACTGTACTGGTGTGTACCGGTACATGATGCGGCGATGTTGCGAGTTTTCGCACCTTTCAGTGGCCTGTGTTCCGTACACAGGTACAGGTGAGTACATAATACCGTAGCATATTTGTAGCTAGCCAGCACAGACTGTCAGTGTCACCTGGTGTAGTGGTGAGTCTGGTGACTGAGCTGTGTGATTGCACTTCGACAGAGAGCCGCGCCCAGTCTTACTCTTAGTTTCTCCTTCGAGTAGTAACATCGATCAAAGAGCGCTTTGGATGCGCTCTCCAAGACGTTTCCTATCATGTTTGTTCTTGACAGCACTTGAAATTATGACAGGTGTAGTGCAATCCACATTGATTCCACAGTAAAAATGAGACTGCGCTCATTTGTCCAGCTGTAGTATCGAAACGACCATGGAAAATCATCAAAATTTCGTGAAGGAGCTTCAAGCAATGTTTGATTTGCTACATCGCGGTCGCTGGTTACGGGTCAAAATTCGACATTGGGACAAGAAAAGGCGGTCGCTGGTCGCGTTCAGCAGGTAGTCGCTAGTCACAGTGCATTTTGAATGTGAGACCGTCCGTGCCTGACAAAGTGGTCGGTAGTACCAGGCCGGTCGCTAGTCACGGTGGTCGTTAGTTACAGGTTTTACTGTATGTTTGGCCCCGATACTCGCTTCTCCTGGATAGTGGTATTTTTGCACTCCCATGCACTGTTGTTGCTAGCACCTGCAATTACATGTACATGTATGTACTACATCATGTATGTACTACATGTATGTACGCATGTACATACACGTGCCATGGCCTGACCAACCGGAGCGGTTCCGCCGGGCCTGCTTGGTCTGAATAATTATGATAGTGTTGTTATTAGCGAGATAGTGTTATGATCCGAGGTTGTTATTCTCAAGGTTCACCACTAACAAGAATATCGGTAAAGGCTAATGATTGCCATGATTAATCCACACCATTTTCCATTGTCTGCATCGAAAATAATTTTTGTCCTCCTTTTTTCACCATAAAATAATTCTGCAGCACTTTCTGGGAACGTTTCGCCATTCTAATAGCTATAGAGGATATGACAGCCCAGTATTAAAAATGTAGGAATGCTTTTCACACTTTTCTTGCCACCGCCCCGCGCCCGTGACAAGCCTTGGATGCACTCGCCTACACCAAGAGTACATAACGGCCCCCAGAGTGTGCAACTCCACTATGCATGGGTGCTGTCTAGGCCTTTCCGGATTATGTGTTTGCATATTTTTGCATTTTGGGGGTCAAAATGCATTTTGTCCATTTTGACCCACTTTGGGCCAGGGAGTCGTAAAATACCGGTATTTTACGACTCCCTGCAAGCGATAGGTACTTCACGATCACCATGAATGATCACCATGGTGCCAAATGTCACGCGACTAGCTGTCGCCATTTTGTTACCATGGCAACGGTGGCATTTTTTGTGCTTTTTGGGTAATTTTTTGCATTTTCTTTAGAAAAAAATTTGATTTATAGGGGTTTTCCAAAACACTTTCCATTTCCATTTTAGACCAAGAAAAAACGCATAATCCGGAAAACCCTAGTGCTGTCCCGACAGAATTTCAAGTTGACGTCATTTTGATGATGCAATGTGCACTGTACACGGATTATCAGACGAATCCGGAACCTGTGGTTGACGCGAAGCCGATCGATCCTGTACAAATTATTGCAAAGAAAAACGTGTGATGCGTTGACACCCGTACACATGTTGTAAATCACTGGTGCAAGAAGCATTGCGTCATAAATAATGACGTCAACTTGAAATTCTGTTGGGACAGCAGGATATGTGGGAGTTGCACACTCTGGGGGTTATGTACTCTTGCCTACACGTACATGTATCGTTAAGGTGGCGATCTACCTTCAGGGGTCAAAATTTTGTGAAATTTTCAACTTGCTCTAATTTCGTCCAATGCGGTGTCAAATTGCTCGTATAGATCCCAGACATCATCTCTGAAAATTTGAGTGAGATTGCTTTATCCATATGGCTGCTATGAGCTTGCAAAGACCGAATGTAACATATCTTTGACTCGCACAATTGCAACTTTTTAGGGGAAAACGTAGAAATCAGTCTTTTCACGGTAAATCCTTGTGGATTTTGTTCAAATTTTCTGTGCTCGTCAGAAATACCACTGCTGACTCATGCCATACCAATACGCACATATTACGTCATCATGGACACAGTGCGCATGCGCAAATCAATAATTCGATAATTTGTGAAGAATTCAAACAATTGTGTTTGGAAAGTCTATTGGAGACGTCTCACGTCGTCGCCTGTCACCAAGATCGGGTGGAATGAGTACTGTCCGTCGTCTTGGTTGTCCGAAGCAGCCTATATGACTGCCAGAAGCTCTCGATATCCATCTATCCGCTGAAAATATCCCTGACGTTGACGACGCTGTTCAAATTTATTGGCAAAAAAATTGCCAAGCGAAGACGTATTTCAACTTCATCTCCAACTCTGACTACTCTGACGATGACGATGTCAACAGCAGTTCTAGCTATTGTGGTGATTAGTTTTTCTCTCTCTTTCGGCGTCAGGCAGTGAGTGCAAAATATAGCCTACTGGAGTTAGTCTGTGAAATATTGAGTGATTTCTGCTATTTCTGGTCAAATCAGTATGCTGTCAGCTGTACCAGTCCACATCCCATCGTAGATCTACTAAGCGAGCAGGCAAACCCAGATATTTGCCTTGGGATTTCATTGTGTGTGGTGAGAAGAGAAGTCCATTCAGTTCTGAGAAATTCAATTTCAAATTGGAAGTCCACAGGCCTGTATTTAGTATGCGCCGAATTCATCACCGCCAGTGACGCTTTGCATAGTTTTCAATATTCTACTGCCCATATATACTAAGACCTGTGGCGGCAACGCGATCCTATTCAATCTGTGGTCATGTTCTCCGAGATGAGTTCAGAAGCAGACATGTGATCTGCTACGCTGGACCTGAGGCAATTTACCAAAGTGGCAGTGCTGCAACCGCATGCGATCGCCGTGATGTGTGACGGAAACGGCATGGCTGCACCCTGGATATGCCTCATTCATCAGCACCTATATTGCCATACCCATGGAGAGAGGCCACCAGTGAAGGCTGGGTTTCCGACTTGATTTTGCCTGCAATGATCCTGATTGAACAAGCCCTTAGAGAAGAAATGAAGACTCTAGCTGAACACTGAAACCAGATAGCATCGCGTTTCTGCTCGGCACCGCACTAAGTAACACCATTGTGATACAACCAGGAAGAGCTGGGAACTTGTGGGAAGTGACAAAGAAGTCAAGGAAGAAGTAAAGAAGACTGAAGAAGAGCATTACTAATCATCAAGGAGACCAAAATGAGGTCACCTACGAGCCAGATGGCTTCTGATGTGAAGATTTGTAGGCAGGTAGGCTGGAATTGGATAGACCTTTTTTGTGTGTTTTTGGTAACTTTTTAGCCTATCCCGCATTTTTCTACCACGATTGCGGCAAAGTGGTAGGTGCTATACCCCTAAACCTATACATTTCTGAGCTCTGTGATGCATCAGCTAGTTCGTGAATGTCTTCGTTTAGCCATTTATCATTGCTTGTTCTCACATTGGTTGTGGACCCGATCATGACTTTTTTTGCGGATGCGCGCGTCAAAACGCTTTGTTGTGACATTGTGATCTAAAGGACTTTGCAACTGTTTCTTGATATTCAATACCCAGAAATATATGTTAGGAACGCTGTAGCAATTGGTTATTTTCTACTTGATGGATGCATATTTCAATTTTGCGGTTAAGAGGTGCGGGTGCGGCCAATTATCGCGATTCGGCAATAACAATGGACATGAGCGGAATCTGTCCTCTATTTGTGCTGCTCCTTGTCCTTTGGTACATAATGAATGTCTCCAGAAAATTTGACCTAATTCCAAAGAGAATTGGCTGAGATGTTTGTATTTTACGGTGGACTATCCGCGAAGGTAGATCGCCACCTTAATGGCAACATCAATGTGCTCAGAATGAGATACATAACAAAAACGACTTTTGGGTTGTTGCCTGCATACTCACCGGCACAACTCTGTTTCCGCGGTCAAAAGTGCGAACTCCACGGATCACTGTGATCTCTGAGCCGGAAATCACCGTGGCCACGGAATCACATATTTCAAGGGAACATGTGAAAGGAATGTCTTCTCCTGCTGCATATACTTCGAGTGCAATACTATTAATGAAACTTCGCAGCAGCATTATCCAGCCACTCCCACTGTTCGGATCACACGGGGGGAAAAAAAGAAGAAAAAAAGAGTCGAATGGTCTTGGTCCGAGGAAGCTGAGACGCTCCCTTCTTCCTTTATTCCCAATCGAACTCGCGAACTTCCACCAAAGGTGACTGGTGTATGCAGGAGCACGTGACCGCTTGTTCAACCATGTTCGATTGCGAATAAAGGAGGAACGCTGCATCGCAACCTTTTCGGACCAAAATCAGTCGACTCAGCGTCCAAACGACTACAACATACATGTATGGGCCAATCGCGGCCATCCGTGCTTTTATAAGAACGAAATGGCACTTTTAGTGACATTCTGCATACAAAGCCCCATCTATATCTAGTAGGGCACAGTCACCCAGTTTCGGTGGAAGTGCGCGAGTTCGATTGGGAATATAGGAGGAAGGGAGCATCTCAGCTTCCTCGGACCAAGACCATTCGACTCAGCAGTGAGCGCCCCAAAGACTACAACTAGTGAAAATTTGATTTTAGGCTTAACTTCCCCTGTAACGTGTTGCCATACTTTCGTTAAAATGATTTAGCATTACTACAAATACATTCTAAAC